TACGAGTCTGAAAGCTCAGGATAATAAACGAATTGTTCCGGTGCTCGACTCTCCTTCTTCTTCTTCAAATATGTATACACCTGGAACTCGAAATTTCGCCTTCATTCGTGACAATGGGATTTGTTAAGGTTACAGAGGTCGGGTGGTAATTTAGTGGACACTGCTATACAAATCCAGCTTCCTCTTAAAGACCTCTACGGAAGCAGACATAACGACATCCAGAGGCACGGCGGTCCAAACTTCAAGCACTCTGTTAGAGAAGAAGAACTTTCGGGTGTCCAGTCTGGCCCCTGTCACACATAGTTTGAATGGATGGCCTCGTAGATTTGTGGTGGTTGCTAACTCGAAGAAGTCCCCCGGTACGAGGCTGCAGTTCTGACCGTGTATGCTATGGAAGGCTTATATCAGGTCACCCGTAACGGCCCATAACTCAAGGGAAAGAGATCAAGGTTAGCTAACCACGTTGCATATGGTAGTGAACCCTGCCCTGCCACAAGTTTCGTTGCACGCCTTTGAACCCTTTCAAGAATGCTGAGGTCCTTCGCGGTCCAGGGTCTCCAAGCTTGGATAGCGAATTCCATTTGCGGCCGCACAAACGTTCGAAACACTTTAGCGAAGCAGTCTTCATCAAAGGCGGAGAAAGCCCGCTTGACAAGGTAAAGGACTGACATTGCAGACTTGGTTATCTTCGCGCAGTGCAACGAGGGTTTGAGCGAGGTCGTAATCCATACTCCCAAGTCCTTCTGCGAGTCCACTTCTTGCAGTGGTATACCGTTCAGACAGTAGACCATATGGTTCGGAGAGCAAGCTCTGTCGATTCGTAGAATATTACGCTTCTTCTCATTGAACGGCAGAACGGCCTTTGACCACTGTTGGAGTCGGTTTAGGTTCGCCTGCAAATGCTCTTCGTCATCTGCAGTTCGAATAACGCTCCAAAGCTTAATATCATCTGCGAACATGGCGACAGCACAATCCAGTTCATTCACACAATCGTCGACGTAAATAATAAACAGAGTGGGACCAGGAACTGAGTCTTGAGGAACACCGCTTTCAATGGCAACATCCGTCGACTGCTGGCCACCGACATGGACCGTTTGAGAACGGTCTAATAGGAAACTTTGAATCCATTTTAAGAGGTTACTCCTAACGCCCGTTCGGCTTATGTTGCGCAGGAGTCGCTGATGTGGAACGCTATCAAATGCAGCCCATCGCCTTCGTCAACTGACCGAGTCCAACGTTCCGAACAGTTGAGCAAGTTAGTCAAGCAAGACCTGCCACTATGAAACCCATGTTGCGCATCAGATGATAAATTATGCTGCTCTAGGAAGCGCATCAGCTCTCGCTTGGTTATTTTTCCCATGATTTTGCAGCAGATGGAGATGAGGCTAACTGTTCTGTAATTGTTTGCAGAGGTCTTGCTGACTCCTTTATACAGTGGTGCGATTCGTGCATGTTTCCAGTCCGCGGGCAAGCAGCCGGCTTCGAAAGAGGCTTTAAAAAGCATGGACAATGGTTTAGCTAGTTCGGCAGCGAGCTCTTTCAGTAACTTAGGCTGTATGTCGTCTGGGCCTGGGGATTTCGACTCAGTTAGCGTCATTAGCTCTTTGCGAATCGTCGCTTCATTCAAAGATACAGACTCAATTGGTTGACCCTCCTCGAAGTCGTAGTCGGGAGGAGTAAATGCACTTTCACTAGTAAAGATGGATTTGAAAAATCGTTAAAAGTGCTCAACTTTTTCTCCATCCGCACTAATCTCTACCTCTCCGCTTGGCTTCAGGAAGGGGATTGGATCTCTGTTTCGTGTGCTGCTTCTTATGTAGCTGAAGAATAATTTCGGGTTTTCCACAGCACGATTCAATAGGTCTTTTTCAAAATTTTGCCGTGTCCTGAGGGTAAGTCGCTTGTCTAAGTTTCCCTGTGTTTTGTATGCGTTTATGGATACAGGATTCCCATCGGTAAGAGATTTCTGCCACAATCTCCGCAATCGAAATCTGGTGGAAATTGAAGCATCTCCGATTGCTGGAGTTCCCCTATTCAGGTAGGAGATAGTGGTTTTCGCTTTTGTTATATCGGTAGCCGATGAAACACTTGCAATCACTACGAAAAACATGTCTGACTGACTGCTGGAACCAAGTTTTCTAACTCCGCTCCTACTTGCAAGCCTCCTTGTCCGAATCTACTTCGCTAAAAAAGTCATATGTTTATGGTAAATTGCCGTGGCTTTTTTCTCGTTCACCTTATTAGGAACTCACAATAAACCGTTTTATTCCAACCCACATGAGTTCATTCCAAACCAGATTAGTTACAGTAGCCGGGTTTTAGAGCCTCCGGAGGCCACCATAAGGTGTCAGGTGATGAGACCAAAAAACCCACTGCCACTTCAGGAAAACATCTGGAGTCGTTTATTGAATCTGGCGCAGTTGCGGGCAAAGCAACTACGTCGGAGAAACTGGAAGACTGCTCCGGACGCGAACTGCTGAACACGCAGCAGCAGTGCGGAAAAATGACGTCAGCTCTTGGGTCGTGGCCCATTCGACAAGACCCGGCCACACATTCAAATTCGATGAGGCCGAAATTCTCGCGAGAGGAGATAATCGCGTGAGGCAGGAGTGGCTTGAGCCATAATTCACGGGACTCCAGTCTATCAACAGGTGCAATGACCTCCCACTGCATATCCCGTGTTCAGTCATAGTCTGGCCAAAATAATAACCCACTCAGGGAACCCGCAAGCCGGTTAGCCAGATGGCTGGGCAATCATCACGCCAGCATCCAAAACGGGTGATGAGAATTCAACAATAAACAACTCTTTCCTTTGAGTTACAGACAGCTACGTGGGGACCTGATACAAGCTTTCCGCATCGTGCGCAATCAGGGCTGCTGCCTCGCGTTTGGAGACTTCTTCGAGTTGGCGACTACGACTAACCTGAGAGGCCATCCACTCAAACTGCGTGTGGCTGGTGTCCGGCTAGACACCCGAAAGTTCTTCTTCTCCAACAGAGTGGTTGCAGCTTGGAATGCCTTGCCTGAGGATGTTGTTATGTAAGGCTCGGTAGATACTTTTAAATGGAGACTAGATCAGCATTGTAGCGCGCACCAAAATAACGCCGGACTACGGCCACCTTGACAGCCAACGCGGACAAGTAAGTGTTATAACGATGCTACTATCGACATTTAAGTAATATATGTTTATGTTATTTATTAAGCCTGGGCCACGTCGCACACCGCTGTTCGCATTCACCACGATGCCTGTAGACTAAACAATTTTACTTTTTTTCCCGTGTCTTAAGTGTGCCTCAACTGTCCGCTGTATTTTGACCAACAAAGCAAGTTAATGTGCCTCTAAACTCTGTTAACGAATGACATTCTGTGTTCATCTGTACAGTTTTTGCTATTCCCCTCGCATTTCTTTCATGTTACTTCCTTTCCATTCCCTCCATATATATCCTCTGCATGTAACCAATAGGGATTTCAAAGGTACACACCTACTTTCCCTGAAATATACTGATACTGACTGATACTGATAACTTGCATGTCGGCAATCTAGAAATTAACGTACCAGCGGGCAACAATTCTTAATGAAGAGGAGCGCGGGTAATTACTATAGGTATGTTGTGGCATAGCGACTGCACCCTATAAATACTGCAACTTCCTGTGTCCGAACCACCCGTTTCTGCCACTGTCTCCGCTGATGGGTGCAAGTGAGAATCCGAAACGTCAGGTGAGTAAACCCATTGTTTCAGCGATCGTTTCGTCTTCTTCTTCCTCTTCATCATTTTCTTCTTCTTCTTCTTCTTCTTCTTCTTCTTCTTCTTCTTCTTCTTCATCTTCTTCTTCTTCTTCTTATCAACTAGTTCCTGGAACTCGCCCCTTCGCTTTTATCGGCAAAAACTAATGTGTTCACAGTCAGGGAAACACATTCAACAAATTGCGTTCCGTCATAAATTACAAATTAAGTTTGTAACCGATGAAAATTTGTATGACATCCCAATGGCCACCTAAGATATGCAGCTATCTGAAAAGATACCTGTGAACTTAACCTTTGTCTGCGGTTGACAGTTAAAAGAATAAAGAGTGTTATTGGAAAGTCGAACTTTGGCTTTTGTATCCAGCTGGTCAACGTTTAGAATTTTCCACGTCCTCCTCGCAAGTGCTTCCACATTTGGTCCCTGTTTACATTCCTCTTCCCCCTTTCTTAAAACCCTCTTTCGAGTGTGATCGGCCTTCTTTTAATTAACTAGTTTTTGTATTCGGACAATGAACTGGAAATTTGATTTTCTCGAAGGCAACGTAATCAGATCTTACCTAATGTTTGTACATATCAACATTCTTTCCTTGTTGGGAGACAGTCAGGGGATGTACTGCCTGGCCCCACCGAAACCGACACCGACGAGTCGGTTGCTTTGAACGGGCTGGAGGAAAAAGCGCGCTTGGCTTAAAGTTGTGAACAAGACGAGAATCAACGCGTTTCGACCTACTCACTTCTTTTCCCGTCGTCGCTCATTTGAATGTCGTTGCCTGGCGTTCGCTGTTGCCATTAGTCCCGCCTGCCTTGTAATTCCCTCTTAGGGGCTAGTCTGACCTCGGACATTAATCCACGTTACAAATTGGCGGCAGCGGTGTGATCATGGCCGCTAAAGATGACGATAACACCCGCCCTTTCCCTTGTGAGCCGCCTACTTCTGATCCTGGGACATCAGAACCGCCCGTCATAACATCGCATGTTTCCTCGAAGGCAGATACAGAGGCGGATTTCGCTCGATCCCCTCTCCGACCTCCCAATCCCTTCCATCCGGGCGACGATTTTTCTCTCTGGGCCTTTCGTGCCTAAAATTTTCTTTGCACCGTCCCTTCCAAACATGCCGGGTCGTACTTAGTCTCGCTTCTGGACGATTCGGCAGCACGACATGTAATGGCCACAGGAGTCTCGCTGGATGCCCCCGTCAGCAAAATATTCAATATTCTTAGCGATTTGTTTGATCGCGGACCGGCACCTTCCCTGGCCCTCGAAACCTTCTGGAGCCGACGACAGTTAACGACAGAGTCAGTCGACACGTACACCGGGGCCTTACGCGAGTTAGTCCTCAGGGCCTTCCCAAATGAGTCCCCCGGCCAGCGTGAAATGGAGGTTCTTAAGCGCTTTACTCTAGGTGTGCGGAACGCTGAACTGTACTCGAAATTTGTGCGCAAGCAATATACCTCGCTACAGAAAGCGCTGGAAGTGGCACGCGGTTACGAAGCTGCGGAAGTGGCCCTACGTCAGCTAGCCTCAACCCACCTCTTAGCAGTGGCTGAGCACTGCCCGTCCAGCCGTCGGACACAACGCCACTCAGCGGGTGAACGCCAGAATTCCCAGGCTAACTGTCCATACTTTCGACGATTCGGCAGGCGGGCCCAGCGTTGCGGTCACAATCCACCGATTAGCCCCTGTTTACGTCCGGTAGGTCTTCTTTTAGTGCTGTTGGTCTTCCATCCTTGGCAGTTCTTCCTCGCAGTGCTCGCACATCTCTTACTGTGCCGGGCACCCTTAATGGTCGTATGGTTTCGTTTTTGCTGGATACGGGCGCTTCTTGTTCTGCGATTTGTTCGAACCTTCGGTGGATGAACTACGAACCTTCCCCCCGACTTGCCCAGCTTTCGGCGGCCAACGGCTCTGTCCTCTGTCCGGACGGACAAGCGTGCTGCTCCGTGACCATAGGGGATTTTATGATGAAACACACCTTCGTATGCGCGCGCATCCAGTGGGACGTGATTCTGGTTATGGACTTCCTAGATCGCCATCACGCCTCTATTGAGCTCTCTCCCCTCAGAATCTGTCTGGACGGTACCGAAGTTTTCCTGGCAGACACCCTCGCAGTGATTAATGACGGACCGTGGTGGACCCCTCTTCTCTCTGGGTTTGTAATTGACGAGTCATCACACCAAGCTGTTGTTCGGCTTCTAGATGAGTTTGCCGTTCAATTCGACGTCAATAACAGATCTTTGAGGCATACAAAAGTCCTTCAGCATTGCATTGACACAGGGGACGCCCGACCTATCCGCCAGGCTCCTCGACGTATCCCTATTTATTATCAAAAGAACATGGAAAAATGATTCAAGATATGTTGAACAGAAGTATTGTACGACCATCTTCTTCCCCTTGGGCGTCGCCTATTGTTCTCGTTAAGAAGAAGGATGGGACCCTCCGCCTATGTGTCGATTACCGGCGGTTGAACTCCGTAACCAACCGGGACTCTTTTCCTCTGCCTCGCATCGATGACACCATTGATGCTCTGTCAGGAGCTGCGTGGTTCTCTACCCTAGATCTGGCATCTGGTTATTCGCAGGTTGAAGTTCACCCAGCTGACCGGGCGAAAACGGCCTTTGTGGTACCCTCTGGCCTCTAAGAGTTCAATATGATGCCTTTTGGCCTGGCGAATGCTCCGGTCCCATTTCAACGGCTTATGACAACGGTGTTGCGTGACATAACCCCGACGGCCTGTTTGATTTACCTTGACGATATTATAGTCCACGGAAAGACGGTTAAGGAGCATAATGCACATCTTTGGGAGGTTTTATTGCGACAGAGAGATGCGGGTCTTGTGCTACGGACAGATAAATGTAAACTTCTGCGGAACCAGACCCTGTTTCTTGGGTACATCCTGTCGCCCTCGGGTATACACCCAGACCCGGACAAGATATCCCACATATGGGAATGGCCGACACCCAAGACGTGCCAGGAAGTCCGTAGTTTTCTCGATCTTGCGTCCTACTACAGGAAATTTGTTCGTGGGTTCGCTGGCATCGCCGCACTCCTTCACCGGCTGACCGAAAAGTCTAGACCTTTCCTGTAGACTAAAGAGTGTGAGGCAGCTTTCGATCAGCCTAAACGTGCTTCGACATCCCCTCCGATCCTCAGCCTCCCGGATGTTTCTCCATCTGCCGGTGAGTTTATTCTCGATACTGATGCCAGCGACAGAGCATCGGAGCTGTCCTGTCTCAGCTGACTGCCGACGGTGATGAGAAAGCGATAGCGTTCGCAAGCAGGCAATTGAGCAAATAGGAGTGACGGTATAGCACCACTCGTCGAGAGATGTTACCGTTGGTATATTTCCTCAAGTATTTTCGCCCTTACCTCTTGGGTCGTCACTTTGTGGTTAGCACAGGCCATAATGCTCTACAGTGGCTGCAAAACTTTCGCGATCTGGAAGGGCAGGTAGCGCGCTGGCAAGAACAATTGCAAGTATATGGCTTTACTTGCGTATACCGTCCAGGCGCGAGACACCAGAACGCCGACGCTCTTTCACGACGACCGACTTCATCCGATGAGGATGTCAATGCCATTATGACGGTCGACGACGCGCAACAGTGGGCCATTCTGCAAGCTCAGAATCCGAATTTCGGCAACATATATGACCGGCAGCTTCATGGGTCTCGAAAGCCGACCGGCAGAGAAATGAGAGAAGAGTCCGCCGCAGCGCGAGCACTGTAGGCTAACTGGGTCAGATTGCGCATAAGTGACGGAGTCTTATTCCTACATAGTGGCGCTAATGAGCCACTGCGACTCGTTATGCCGAAGGCGAAGGTACGAGATACCTTAGGTAACATTCATAATCAACTCGGACACGCGGGCCAACGCAAAACAGAAGCAGCCGTTGACAGTCGCTTTTGGTGGCCGACTATCCGTCAGGACGTGGTGTCCTACTGCACTGCGTGCCAAGTTTGCGCTCAGATAAAGGCGCCGATTCCCGCACCACGAGCCCTGCTGCACCCTATTGCTGTGGACGGACCTAATCACCGGATTGGTGTAGAAAAAACTGGACCGCTACCGACCACTCGTCGTGGTAACCGTTGCATACTGGTGATGGTTGACTACTTCACCAAGCGGTGCGAGGCCGTACCATTAAAAATTCAGGACGCAAAGTCAGTCGCAGCAGCCATCCTCAACGATTGGATTGGCCGTTATGGGGCGCCCACGATAATCCATTCCGATCGAGGTACGGCGTTTGAGAACCATCTCCTGGCTGAATTATGCTCGTTACTGCAGATCAAGAAAACACGGACTACTCCTTATCATCCCGAAGGAAATGGACTGGTCGAACGCACGAACAGGACGATCAAGCGAATTTTATCCGCATTCGTTGATCGCGAGTCATCTGGTGCCTGGGACGAACACTTGCCGCAGTGCCTGTTAGCGTATCGGACCGCCGTCCACGACTCAACCGGACTTTCTCCCTCGTTGCTCCAGCTCGGCCATGAGCTTCGATTACCGGCAGATATTCACTCGCCCCTTATACGCGCCGAGTCCCTTAGTATGGGGGAATACGCACGAGCTCTCAAAGAAAGACTTGTCACGGTATACAGGCTGGCTGCTAGCAACATTCAAATGGCCCAACATCATCAGAAAACTTGCTACGATCGACATCGAGCTGGGCCAGAATATCATGTTGGCGAGTCCGTGTTACTGTTCAGACCGCGACCGCCCCCAGGGGCTGCTGCAAAGTTTCATCGGTAGTGGCAAGGCCCGTGTATTATCGTTTACCAACCTTTCCCCGACACGTTTTTTCTGCACGACCCACAGAGACGTTTCGCCGATGTTCTCACCGTCCACTACAATCAGATCAAGCCAGCGCCCGATTGCGGACCACCTCCCGATTTCCCTCTCTCACTTGTCCCCTCCGGTTCCCCTCCCCCGGTAGCGCAGACGGTTGAAATATCTGCATCGAACTCTCAGGGATATTAGGCTAGAAACACTGCCGACAGTGTCCTCTTGGAGGGGAGGCAGTATAACGCAATAAGATTTTACCTAATGTTTGTACATATCTCCATTCTTTCCTTGTAGGGAGACAGTCAGGGAATGTACTGCCTGGCCCCACCGAAACCGACACCGACGAGTCGGATGCTTTGAACGGGCTGGAGGAAAAAGCGCGCTTGGCTTAAAGTTGTGAACAAGACGAGAATCAACGCGTTTCGATTTACTCACTTCTTTTCCCGTCGTCGCTGATTTGAATGTCGTTGCCTGGCGTTCGCTGTTGCCATTAGTTCCGCCTGCCTTGTAATTTCCTCTTAGGGGCTGGTCTGACTTCGGCCATCAATCCACGTTACACGAACAGTGACAAGGGAATTATTTGTCTAGGGTATCCATTATTGAGGTTTGTACGTTTTTTTATTACTACCGTATTCTATCAATAGTACCGTATATACGCCGAAATCTATTTTGGTTTATACGCATGACTCAATTCAACAAGAATTCTCCATGGGCCACACATAAGGTGCCAGGAAAAAGGGACTAGAGGGTTCTGCAAAGAAAATTAACGGACATGTTCATAATAAATTTGAACTGTCAGAATGCTCTCAAGTATATTTTCTTTCACAAAGAGTTTCTTTAACATTGCAGCGAACTTTTCACGATGACAGAGCACAAGAGGCCTTGCCGTGATCAGACCTTCGGTATGTGTAACTATCTGATTGGGGAAATATGCGAACGGTCGATAATCCAGAATGAACCCAGACATAAGAATCCTGGCTTAGTGAGAACCTTGATCGTCATCTTTTGGTGTTGGTTCCTCTTAATCACTCCATCCCGAGGAATCATGAATGCTGATACGCTTTTGTCGAATGGCTCATATCATAGTCCTGATCTATTGCTATTAAACTTCCCAAATGATATTGTTTTCTCAGTCGAAAACCCGCAATGAGTAAGGATAAAGAGGTAGAAATTTTGGATATTGTCTCTTCAAAAGAAAAATACATCAAAAAGAAGCAGGAATGTTTTCCAGGAGAAGAAGTTACCCCGACTCCCCTTTTTCTTTCTGTGTTTCGCGCAGCATCCGAATGCGTAAAATTCTTCCATCTGCCTGTTGGAAGCACTCGTCCACCCAGAAATGTTTAACAAAGAAGTGGTACAGAAGTCATTCTTCTCTTGGCGACTCTAACTGTGATCTTCAGTCATAAAATTTCCTCACAAAACCGTTTGAAAATCGTGTATACTTTTGATTCACAACTAAATGTTTGTGAGAGAAAATGAGACTGCCTCGCAAACCAGAAGGCGGTCTGAAGAAAATGACACTTTCTAACCTATAGTGGCTCGTTAAGCAGACATACTAGAATTAAAGGGAGGGCATACTTCGGATTTAAACGCACGTTCTGTTAGGAGCAAGCCTTGCTCCACATCCTCAAGACTATGAATCACGCCCCTTCGACTGCGATACGAGGCAGTTGAAAGCAGTTAAGTGTGACGCTCGCCGTTTTGAGCCGGTCGAAGAACAGATAATACAATTTCCGCTTAGTACTGGGGTTTTAAGTAGCACCCACAAGAGCATTCGGTTTGTTTAGAAACCTGCACTCTAATCTCGACACCCTCAATGGCGCAGCTGTACTTCGGCAGGGGTCAGGACTGCTTGTAGTTGCCCTACTCACAGGGCCTGTCGTAACGCTGGGCCTCTCGTGAGTGTCTGCACGTGCTCACCAGGGCTGTCTGGCATTCGCCCACGCAGGTCTGCAACTGGCCAACCAGATTCAGGGTCGAGTCAGGCGTGCCTTGACTTAAGACGCCTGACGCTTTCCCCTAGTAACTTTGGGATGCCGCTCTCCCGCGCCGGAGGCACATTCCTCTGGCTGCCAACTCCCTCCACTGCCTTGTCCAGTTGTTCAGTACAGAATACGCAATCCTCCCAACTGCCGTCCATCTTTTCTTTCCATTCGGGGCCAGGCCTGAATATCGTGGTAACCGGGGTTTCAGTCTCGGTTTAGGCTTCTGCGGTATGTTCTCCAAGTGCGGACATTGACAACGGTCAGCCGGTCTCGATTGGCAGAGCTCGTGGAGGTAATTAAGTGCGCTACTTTATCTACACAGCTTCCTCCCTGAGATCGGTCACGCATTGTACATACTTGCAATGCCGACGGTTAATACAAGCGGCGCTGAGGGGCGGAGAGTGCAGAACGACTGCCCGGCTCGCAAAGATAAGGAAATTCAGGCGTATACCGACCGCAGTGAGATGAGGAATTTCTTCGCAGTCATCAAAGCAGCCTACGGTCCCCAGGCCAAGGGAATTGTGTCACTGCTATCAGAATTGAGCAGCAATCCTGACGCAGAGATCACGGATCCTGGAGGGCTGGACTACATACTTTCAGGGCGCCCTCAACCACCTGGCGACAGTCTTCACAGAAACCATCACTCGACTACCTCAAGTTCAGTGCGACAGCTGTCCAGTCGAAAAATACCAGGAGGAGACATACTCCGAGCCGAAGTCTACAAGTAAGGCAGCCTAAACTCTCACGGGAAAGCCTACTTCACTGTCTTATTCGGTATGGAGGCAAGGACACATCCCTAAAACCTCAAGGATGTCACCATCGTGCACGTCCACAAAAACAAGGGAAACTGGTAAATCCGTGATATCACAGAGCCAGTTCCCTTCTCAAAATCGCAGGAAAATCTTCGCCCGTGTTCAAACGCGCACCTGGATTGGGGACTTCTCCCTGAAATGCAGTAAGAATTCCGAAAGCACCAAGGAACCACAGACCTGATCCTTGCGGCCGGTCAACGTCAGGAATTGTCCTAAAACGAGGACCAATCTCTGCCAATTTTGTCGATCCGACGAAGGTCTTCGACACAGTAAACTTTGATTGACTGAGAAATCGAGCCGCAATTCGGATGTCCAGAGCGACTTACACACGTGGTATGACAACCTTACGACTAGACGATGGCTCGTGTCACGGACAATGGAAGGGTATCTGAAGCAGTTGTGGCGACTAATGGAGTGAGGCAGGGGTGTGTGTGCTCTATCCCATCCTATTCAGCCTCTCGTTCTCCTTTATGCTAATGGACGGCTACCGTGAGGGCCGACCGGGGATCAGCATCTGCTGTTGAACCGTCCGAAGATTGCTTAACATCCGTCACATGCAAGCATCTTCAGGATTATAAAGTGCCAGCATCCACGACCCATTGTTGGAGGATGACTGGACGTCGAACACCAGAACGGAAGAGGACATACAGCATATTATAAACGTCTTCGCCCCCGGGTGTGACACCTTCCTTCTGACCATGGGCACTGAAAAGGCATTAGTCAAGCACCATCGGGCAACAAATGCTGACTACACCGAACCTTTATCAATGTCAATGGAGCGCATCTGACAGGAGTGGAGGAAATGGTGTACCCTGACAGTTGGATTACAATAAAAATTAAGATTGACGACGAAGACACCAGTGGGCCAAATCCCGAATTGTAAGGAGAAAACAGAAGTCAAAAATGAGCAGCTTATTGTATACAGAAATCTGAGTTGCCCTCCCAGGCAGCAGTGTTCGCTGGTATGACTGCGTCTAATCATCTCTGAGATTCCCTGAGACAGTGATGGCAGCTGCTTTTATAGGTTTGTGGGGCAATCTGATGAGGTGTCCAAATGATGTGTTCTGATTTGTCGATGGGTTGGTGTTCGAGTGGCCTGTGTTGCATTCGCAAGGGGATAAAAAGTTTAAGTTGCCCTTGGGCGGTTGCGACTCTGTGGACGTACTTGTGTCCGAGTTGAAGTCGGTCGAGTGGCCGCAAATCAGCTCGTTTGGGACCCCTCGCTCAGAAGGTGATCTTGACACAACGGTGCCTTGGACACGTACGTCGGGCATGACCGTGATGACCGTCGACAGCAGGGTCACGAAAGTCAGCCAAACCGTCAGCCGCCTAAAACCTTTCATCTGATATCGTCGAGGCGTTATGTTCAAAGCAAAATTAAGGACGTCCGGGGCTTCTGTCCCTACAATGCTCTGGTACGGAACGGTGACGTGGACTGATTATGAAGGCTAAGGAAGAAGACTAAACCACTTTTACCTCAGCTGCCTCCGAAGAACACTGAAGGTGAAGTGCCAAGAAAGAATCCCAGATACTGAAATTCTGGAAAGAACCGATGTTCTCAACATCCACATCATGCTGAGACAGATACATCTGCGATGGAATGGCTACTTTCTGAGGATGAATAACGATCGCCTGCTCAAGCAGCTATTCTACGGCGACGTCTTCATTGGTGGTGGTAGGAAAGGAGGACAAATTGTCGCTACAAGGACACTCCGAAGACCTCGCTCAAGTGTATGTATATCAACACAGGAACCCGATAGGACTCCGCACCGGATTGACAGGTGTGGGCCAGTCATGGAGACTGAAGCAGCCATCTTCGAAGCCAACGTGGTAGCCGTTGCCAAAGCAAAGAGCGAGAACCGAAGGACTCAAGTGCTACGAAACAATGACACCAGCACTCATATCCTGTCATCGTGTCCACACTGTCGACGAACATTTCGGGCGCAGATCGGTCTTGTTGAACATCTGCGTACCCAGTGCAATGTCGACACGCGCGACTCATCTCTCATCTCCCTACATACCACCACTAGTAGCACCAGTGAAGAAACCCTTACCGACCTGCTTAACACTGTCACCACTGCCTCTACCACCAATAATGTGGACTCGATCCCAACCTGTCACCACTGCAACCGCACTTCTCATAGCGCATAGGTCTGATCGGTCACTTGCGAATCCACTGCGTAGAGACAGGCGAACTAGTGTCTGGAGTACTGAAATATATCCGCCACACATACGCCTTACTTGCCCACACTGGACCAGGACATTCAGGCACCGCATTGGTCTTTTCGGCCGTATGCGCCTCCGTGGAAATCGAAGGTGATAAATCACAGTCCAGACCCCACCGTCATACCACAACCTGCCTGCTCATACACACCTCCCTATGTCACATATTTACCTACCTCACAGACTGAATATATGCGCCATCACCCGTAATATTATGTTCCTCTCCTGCAGTATGTATGCGATCTAATTTATCATCGCCGCTATAGAGGGCGAAACGTCGCATGTCATAGCATACACGTTCCAGGCAAGTGGAAGGCATATCCGTCGGTACGTCCTGATAAATGAAGTAGGGACCAAGTCGTGTGTGGCACACTTAGACAGCTGTTTGATATTGCCAGCCACTCTGCCTAATCATATCATCAGCTGAATGGGAGGCTCTGACAGCCGAATTTTGCATGGGAGAAGAAGGAAGGGGTGAGGCTGACACTAGGAAATCCATCTCCGCAGAATATCAGCGTATTCCTCCTCCTGATAAATACAACGCCTTATGCGTTTTGATGAAAATCTGCGCTAAGACGTCGCAGACCCTTCCCTTCTGCCGTACCTCGTCCCAACAGCCCATATTCCACACAAGTATCTGTCACGCAACACCCGACATATGGACAGAACATGCACCGCCCGCCTAAATCGAAATCCTGTTTTTAGACAACCTTGGGACCTGACCAGCTGGGGTCCGGCTCACGTAGACGGGATGCTGTAGCTTCGCGATCCACTGCGATCAATCCTATCGTCCAATGACTGACCACATCCAAGAGTTGATTTGTGCATGGGAGATGAATAAAGAGTGATTTCGGCAGTGGGGAACCCATCCCCACGGCACACCAGCACTTTTTTCCCCATAATAAATTTGACGGGTCTCGAAACTATCACGATGCGCTAAAAGTCGTGGATTGGAGGGCTACCAGCTGACCGGATCCCTCGGCCCTCGTCGTCAACACGATGTTTAGGTGGGGTGAGTGACTCTATGTCTGGATATCAGACTCAACGGCTCCTTCATAGTATGATCCTTCTGACATTCTTACGAACTTCCAGTTTTTAATTTTCTCAGAAATTGGCCGCTAACTTGGAGTAAATCTGTCTAATTGAGACTTATGGGTGCAGGCTGAAATTGTATATGCGTATTTGGGCTGACGTCGATCAGCTACAGCGGAATAACCGTAATATCTGCGTAGCCCCCTATTCTATGAAAACCTGGTATATTGTGTAGAGGACTAGGTCTTATGTGACAGGCGTAGACGGGCTGCTTAACTTTGTCAGTAAATGTAGCCGCACCCACCTCCGGTCACCTTGACATGATTTTGTTATCAAAGCCTGGTAGATAAAGAGGGTGCAAGTGTGGCAGGTGCTGGGCAAATCTGCCTGATTATGAACTAATTCACGCGCAAGTCACCGGTGCTATGCTTACGAAGCGAGCGCGCGGTGGATGTCGTCGGTCACGACGGACCAACCCCTGCCCGTATTCTGTTTAACACAGATTGCCTTGGGACTTGGTTGGGGGGAATGTTGACACGCAAGACGCGGGCGCAAATGATGGGGGTCTCCGGTCAAGGATGGAGCGGATGACACTACTTCCACGCCAGTTCGTTTATCGAACACGTCCTCCTTGATTCTACCGAAGGTTTCTGTGTTAGAGGTCAAGCTCTTTGACATGCAAAGCAAAATCTTCAGATAAGCTTACCGTGGCCTCTGCTTGGCTGCTGAAACATACACAAAATCCTTTACAGTTGAAGCCAAGGGGGACGTTATTCTGGAAAGAAGTCTGTGGAAGGGACAAAAAGCGCAGGTATTCAGACAATTTAAAAGGAAGTAATGCAAAAGTCCGCTTATATGAACGAGCCGAGTCCCTCTTTCTTTTATTCTTACTCCTGTCTTTTCTGGTGCCAGAAGAGTTCCAGTAAGCAAACTCTTTTCCCAGAACTACGACAACTTTCTGCTAACCAACACATCTGTACTTCGATTGCCCAAAATAAAGCATATCTTTGATGAAAACCTGTCTGACTCTGAAAGAATCAATACAGAATAAAATTGTGTGGTCTCGATGCAGTGGCCAAACCGTACCAACAATAACGACTGGAAATTGTCGCTCCATAAGGCTTTACTGGACGAAGAGATTTGAAGGATACGGCGCAACGTACGAGGCGATCACGCATACCCTAAACACCGTCTTAAAGTTAATCCACCAGCAGTGCCGACACATTTTTCATTGGTCTTCGGAGTCGCTTCCATGGAGACCAGGGGAGGATCTCCAGTGGGCGCAGTTTAGCTAATAACATCAGCTTACTGAATTCTCCAAACCATCAATTTCAGTGATACAGAAGGCGAAGGTACCGTCTTTAAATATTAATAGTGTACAAAAGCATCATTACACTCCCTAAAGTCTCGTAGCCAACGCAGTTGAGCATCATTCACGGGTGAAACTACACTCTAAGGGTGACTTTTGAAATTCTGAGACTTTCGCGATCTCCAAGTTAGCACTGCCTTGAGGAATCATTTAAACATATTTCTGCTCAACGTCTATGCATAATCCATATTTTTCGATGCAGCATTATGCAGAATTCTCCTCACTTTAATTTTCAACGTAAAGTTAATTCCATACGACAGTCTAAGGTCAAAAGCATGTGAACCGGATGTGAGCTCAACAGAGAGATCGACAAAACATTATTTGGGCATTTAGCTATTACTTGTGCTGTCAGTATGGTGAGATATGCAAACTCAGAATCTTTGACTGAAATTCTATCCGCGTTCTTGATCCCGTGCTGATCATTCAGAGAAGTAAGGTAACAATACCTGCCTGACAAAGTCGGCGTTCCACCAAACCCGTCTCGAACCCTGTCTTGACCTAGTTACTGTTGGGAGAGCTTTCTTGGGTGTATAAGTGTGGCCGATAAGGCTTTTACTGTTAGGAAGCCAGCATGTTCTCGAATCTTCGGTAGCGGTGATGTCGAATATATGGCACCTATGCCATATATTCGCAAAAGTCCTTTCGGCAAGGACTAAGTATATGTGCAGGGCATGAAAATGGCAACTGTTGTTTGACTAATTTATCAGCGTCTTAACACTCTAGCTTTACCGGCAAATGTACGCATACCATTTAACATTTCGGGCGCTTTTACTGCCCGACTGCTATCAGTTCTGAACTTTTTTTAAATTGGGCCTCCCTGTCACTGAAGAATTACGTGTGGGATCTGCAGAACAATGGACCAATGTAGACAGTTCAGCAGTACCGGCTCCTCCGGGCGGTCTGGTCAACGAATACCATCCTGCCGACGAAGGGCTGGCCAAAAACTCTGTAGAACGACACCTCTCGAGAGAGAGCCCTTAAGGCACAACGGAACGAGTGAGTTCCATATGAACGATCGGTGAGCGCCCCCTACAATTGTATTGAAGGCAGTTCATCATAGTTTTCCCTTACCCCGCGCACATACTTAATCCTTACTGTCCTTTCCTTAGGTCCTACCTAAAAATGAGTGACTACTCTGTCAGTCGACACGACAGATTCACTGGCAACCAGTCGTCTGCTATCCCCGTCATCTGCAATGCGGAGGCTACATGCCAGACGCTGATGCATCCAACCCTTCACCTCCCGTGTGCACACCCTCGTCACTCTTTCCATAACATTTTCCCTCTGACACCGCATGTTCCTAAAGTTTCTGCCAAGCCTCGTTGGCACCCTCCTACTAGCGTGCAAATGGCTATCTGGTTGGAAAAATACATGATAGGGTTGGCTGCTACGCTTTGGGTTAAACCATAATAAGGGAGAATGCTCAGTTAGTCTGGAGTGGACGGCTTAAAATAAATTATAAATATCTATGGACGCAACCGCCAGTGCTTTTATAAGTGCTGATCAAGGAGGGGTTTGGTGACCACAGGTAATTTGCATAGAAATAATAACCAACGGATACGAAGAAACAACGCGAAGGTGAAACACGAAATCCTGAGGGAAATACGTCGTAAAAACAGCGATACTCTAATTTGAAATCTCTTACTAAAAATATTTAATGAACCCAGTTCTAAATGTTCATTCTTGGACGAAACCGGACCGTTAATCTCCTAGATTCTAGTCGAATATTTTGTCTCCACTGAACAACCTGGCCGATGCCTCTGGCTTTGAAAATCTGATATTGCTTTTTCCAAAAGGTCGGCGGTTCGGTTTCATCCCAAGGCAACATTTCTCCAGCTTTGTGGTTTCATTGCGTCTCCTGTAGTATGTAGGAAAAAAAAGTTACTACATAAGCCAGTTCACCCTATGTTAGTGATAATGAGTAAAAATGGATTGAAAACCACCTATTTAATCACTGCTTACTGAATATAACTAATTGTACTCTCTATAGCGTAAAGTTTCTTGGGTCGCCCACCAGTTAAACTGACTATTTACACTGCATCTGTCTGAATTAGGACACTATGGGCAGATACAGTCAAGAGAAGATATGCTTGCATATAGCCAAATTTATTACTCCCTAGTCAGTATAAGTAGCTGACCGACTTTACGACTCCCTAGAAGCCTTCCAGTGCTGCATAAAAACTCTTGATCCTAATCGACAGACGTTCTTTTAATGATTTTTCTGAACTATTAGCCGCCCATTCAGGGCCTCCCACGGGTGCAGTCATTAAGCCTGAGAATTATATTAAAATCCCATCGGGTCAGGCATAGAGAAATGAGATCTGCAGAAATGCGCAAATATAAAGCCCCGCGGAAGACTGTCCACGTGTATTGACATGCGAATGGTCAGTTCTAAAAGTGATTTTGTGAACAATTAGGCTTTTTCTGAAGTAAATACTTAAGATATGAGATCATTCCCCATGAAATATGTCATCTTGACTCATTTTGGGGCTGCTATCTTCAGATCGTCCTAGTCTAATATTCATAGGTTCCCAGAACTGAAACAAGCAAACATAATGTTACATTGGCAAAATAGCATTACCGACAAAGACAAGGAGACTGAAATGGCCATTTCTGGCTCAGTAGTTGGTTGGGCTCGAGAGAGAGCCGTAAGGCTTAAAAGAATGAGTGAGTTCCGTAAAAAAATGACCGATGAACTCCCCTCTACCATAATGTATCATTTTTGGTTATCAGGATACCCAGTCATTGCAGCAGGGAGTGAAGTCAGCTGTGATCTCCCAAGAGCACGTAAATCAAGTATATAGACGACTTTAAGTGGCTAGCATTACAGGAGGGGTTCCAAAAATATAGGAACTACGAAATGCTGAAACGTAAACACATTTTATGTTCAAAATGGTAAACTTCAAGAAGACGTAAGTACCTATCCAGGTTAGCAAATCTAAGCGATGCGGGTCGATAATCTGAGAAAAGTTAAGTGCTCACTGGATCAAGGGATTGCATTGCTGACGTTTCATGGAGCTTGACCGGCTCTCCATTATCAAAGCGTTTAGTGCAAAAATCGATCTGCATTTTGAATAGACGGCCGAATTAGTTGGCCTCGGTCTGATCAATTTTGTACTCCTTTCGCTGCCTTGCCTCTCTGACCGCCGTTTGTGAATGCTGGTGGCCTCCTGTGTCGTGTGTCGTGACTTCAGTGGAGCTCAGTTGCGTTTGTTCTCCTCTTTAAGGTGAATTAGTCGACGGACCGTGTTTACTCGGTATTCTTGAGTTCCGCGTGATCATCTTGTCCTGGACATGGCGTATGCAGTGACGTAGGACTTTATAGGCCGCAGGAAGATCTAGATGGCTGTTGATAGGGTTGGCACCTGAGTATCAAGCCTCAGGTGTGAGACCTTCTGTTCTTGAGGTGCCCCGGCCTAAGACGGTTGCTCCTTGAAAGTTAAAGTTGTGTCCAGTTTCTCCAAAGTGAGTCGCAAGCTGCCAGTTTAGGTCTAATCTCCGAGTTGCCAGTTTGTACCCATGTAAACGGGTGTGCATTTTCCGTCCGGTTTCCCCAATGTAATTCTAGTCTCCATCGTTACAACGTATTTGGTAGACAACTCCTGAGGTTTCAGTGGGTGGCAGTATGTCTTTGGGTTTCATCAAACGGCGACGAATTGATGCCTGGGGTCGATGGGTAATGCCTAATCTGGCGGGTTGTAACAGACGTTAAACTGCCTCCGAGACTCGTTTTATGTAAGGAATAGCCCTCCAGACTTCGGATCGTTCTTTTTGTAGTCGTCGTCTGCTTACTCAACGCTCGCTTTGCCTAATAATGTAGCTTGAGTATCCATTGGCCCGAAAGAGGTTATAAAGGTATTGTCGTTCAACACTTTTGTCCGTTGGTGTGCTACTGTGTGTTTTAATTTTTTTGAATAGAGCACGGACACATCTGCCTTTGCGAGAGAGGGGGTGATTGACGTTGAAATGTAGTATTTGTCTTGTGCTGGTGGATTTTGTGAAAACGGTAATTTGTAATTGTCCAGTTAAACACCCACGCACAAGAACATCGAGGAAGGGAAGTTGGTTGTTAGTTTCAACTTCCATCGTGAATTGGATATTCGGGTCCACCCAGTCCAGTAATTCTTTAAGGTGCTCCACGTCAGATGATTTGACAATGGCGAAAGTGTCATCGGCATAACGAGCCCGGAGCTTTGGTTGATACTTGGTGAACACCAAGTGTTCTACCCGTTGAAGGGCCACTTCACCAATCGGCCCTGAGATGGGGAAGCACATTGGGGGTGCCTTTGATTTGTTCATACATTTGTCCACCATAGGTGAAATATGCTTTTGGGCAATATCGTAAGAACTCCATGAGATGTCCGGTCTTTGGTGGGTTCTCTCTCTCTCGTCGTGGCGGCCAGCCAGGAATTGTCTCACAACGTCTATCGCTAGTTGTTGTGGGATGGAGGTGAAAAGTGCAACAGCATCAAAATATACCATGGATTCATTTGGCTATAGTTTTAGATGTTTTAAACGTTCAAAGAACTGACTAGCAGAAGCTACTGTTGTTGGCGAACCTTCTGCCAGGAACTTAAGAGGAGCAAGCATCCATTTTGCCAAACCGTGTGTAGGAGTGCCACGTAAGGAGACAATGGTTCTGAGAGGTATGTTCGCTTTTTGTACCTTCTGCAGACCGTAAAACGGGGCCGTGGCGTAGTCAGAGGGTTTCATAAGAAACCGATCTCCGGCTTCGTCTGCAGGAGGCCACAAGGTAAGTGACCCCCGGGTAAGCCGGATATTGATTTGTTGTCTTTACTTTTCGCTCGATCTGGCTGGCTTGCCATTGTCCGCTTGTCTGTTTTTGTCCCTGTTGTAAGCTATGTACTGATCCATTGAATTGCTCTGCGCACCATTTATATTTCGGCAACCAATTAGCTTAGAAAAGGACCAGGAACTCTGCTTCCTATCTCTCTACCCTTCGCCCATCTCCCTTCCCCCCTTCAAAAAGTCCTACGACGAGGGCGACAGTGATCACGTAGGAGGCCCAGGCCAACTCGGGTCGTTCTTCCACTAAGCAAGATCGTGGCCCATAGTGGAGTCCGGTAGCCGTCTGGGATGTGTGAGCAACCCTATTTGGGGACAGCACTAATCACCCCCGCGAGGGGAACGGGCCTAGAAAAGGCACCCCAAACAGATGATGGGATCACGTCCTCTGCGCGCTGACCGTGGCGCGCAGACGCAAAACACACGGTCGAAACAATCAAACAAGCAGCAATACTCTCTCTCTCTCTCTCTCTCTCTCTCTCAGGAGCAAAGGCGACGAAACATGCAGAATTTATTGACGTCATAAATTTCGAGACCTCGTATTCAGCTGCACACGGTCATTGGATACTTATATGACAAGGTAAACTGTTCAATCAGAGATCGACCTAGAGAGATAAAACGTGAGATAGGTGGAAATGATGTGGGGTGACTCCAGCAAATTTCCCTCGGAGACCCATTGGAAAGAAGAAACAAAGGCGCAAGAAGACATTATTGGAAAAAAGGTAAAATCGTTACTTGAAAAGCAAATAATAGACCAGAGCGTGACTGTGTTTGTCTTGCAAACGGGTATCCGGAGAAATTAATCGATAAATATCGCAATCCTAGACTAGGAATTCCTGAATAAATATCCGTACTAAAAAGCCAGTGACCATTTACCTCCCCTTCAAGGGTGATGACATGTCAACCGTGATCAAGCGACGACTTTGGTGCGCAATCGAGCGGACATATGCCGCCTCTAACTTGTTGTTCATAAGCACTACAACGGCCATTCTAGTTAGACCGGCTTAAGACATTTTGCTATGCACGCCACATTAAACCGTATTTATGAGTTTACACGTAGTTGCAGATGCAAGTACATTGGGCGCACGCAAAGGCAGTTGGCAGCTCGGTCAGTTGAACACATGCCGAAGTGGCTGCTTAAGGCGGAAAATAAGGTATCCAGGAGTTCAATTACAAAGCACCTGGTGGATACGGGCCGTACGGTGGACCCAATGGTTGCATTCAAGGTCCTGTTTCGGGCGACGACCGGACGTCTCTTGCGCTTTGCAGAGGCCGCTGCAAAACGGAAGAGGAAATCAGAAGTCTGTAAGCAGCTGGACCGCGTGATAAACCTCGCACTTCCATGGTAAGGATCGATAGTGGACAAAACTTCATTTCCATAACCATCCTCTGCTTTCGTCCCCAAACCCCCCCGGCTTGACTGAATGCTGCCACGCGCGTTGCAATTTTATTCACGCCCGATAAGTTCTCACTGTAATCTAAAGTCGCTGGCTTAGACGGCTTCTCAGCCCTCCCCGCACTCGCCATGCGCACCCGCATACTAGACCAACAACCCATATTTCATGTTACCGATCCCCTTTTATCTCTCTAGGTCGATCTCTGATTGAACAGTTTGCCTTCTCATATAAGCATGCAACGACCGTGTGCAGCTAAATAAGAGGTCTCGAAATTTGTGACTTCAATAAATTCTGCATGTTCCGTCGCCCTTGCCTTATTCAAATTTATTCCGGGAAAGCATTGCCTCAATCTCAGGAGCAACCGACTGGAATGGAGGACAGCGCTAGTGGCTCGGGAATTGGCGTGCTAAAAGGTGGACATCGCTGCACTCAGTGAGACCCACGTGACAAGTTAATCATCCATGGTGACTTCAACGCCTGCGTCGGCACAGACCATGCTGCCTTGAGAGGAATGTTAGATCTCCATGGTCTCGATGGCTTCAACAACAATGATCTGCTCCTCCTATGAACCTGTGCAGAACACCAAATCATCCTGACGAACGTCTTCTCCCGCCTTCCGATACGAGAGAAGGTCACCTGGATGCATCCTCGGTCACGGAAATTGCATCTGCTGGACTATGTCCGTATTCGGAGGTTTGAACAGCGGGACGTGCTGATGACAAAGGCGATCGCGGGTGCAGACGGCTGGACCGACCATTGGCTCGTCATCTCGCAGATGCCGATTCGCCTGCAGCCCCGCAGGAGACCTCAAGGTAAGTGACCACCAGGTAAGTTGAATATTAATCTGTTGTCGTTGCCTGCCCACCATCTCCATTTCAGCAGCGAGTCAGCTCAAAGGTTAGACAACCTACCAGTCTTTGATGCCGCTGTTGATAAGAAAGCCTCCATGGAGAACCGATGGTGTCAAATGCGAAATACAGTCCAGGCGACAGCCATGACCGTCTTTGATCGCGCACTTTGCCAGCACCAGGACTGATTCGATGGCAACAACGCCGCCATCAGCAACCTGCCCGTCGAGAAGAATCACCTGTATAAAACCCACGTCAACTGCCGCGCCGACGCCAAAAAAGCAGCCTTCTACCGTAGTCGCCGCCTTGGGCAACAGCGGCTGCGGGAGAAGCAGGATGCCTGGGCGGTTCGTAAGGCCGAGGAGATTCAAGGGTACGCGAACCGTAACGAATGGAAGAATTTCTTCGCGATGAAGGCTGTCTACGATCTGACGACCAAAGCAAATGCTCCTCTTCTCAGCGACGATGGAAGTACCCTACTCACCGAGAAGACACAAATTTTACAGAGATGGGCCGAACATTTTAAAAGCGTCCTCAACCGTTCCTCCACCATCTCCGACGCCGACATCTCCCGTCTGCCGCAAGTGAAGACAACGTCGACATCGACCTCCAGCCCTCTCTACACGAAACCATCAGGGCCGTGCAGCAGCTCTCCACTGGGAAAGGGCCCGGTTTGGATACGATCCCTGTTGAGATCTACAAGCACGGTTGCCCCAACTCATGGACCATCTGGCTGCGCTCTTCCAGGAGATGTGGCGTGAAAGGAGAAGTCCCGCAATATTTCATGGACGCCACAATCGTGCACCTCTTCAAACCGAAAGGAAACCGCCAGCTCTACAACTATCGAGGCATCTTCCTGCTGAAGCTCGCGGGGAGGATCTTCGCTCACATTCTTCTCAACCATCTGAACAACCATCTGGAACAGGGCCACCTGCCGGAAAGCCAGTGCGTCCTTCGTCGTCATCGCGGAACCACCGACATAATTTTCGTCGCCCGACAACTGCAGCAGAAGTGTCAGGAGATGCAGACTCGTCTGTACTCTACCTTCGTAAATTTGACGAAAGCCTTCGACACAGTGAATAGTGGCGGACTATGAAAAATCATGCAGAAATTCGGCTGTCCCGAACGATTCACTCGGATGGTTCGTCAGCTCCACGACGGCATGATAGCGCGGATCACGGACAACTGAGCTGTCTCAGAGGCATTGGCGGTGACAGAGGGATGAAGCAGGGCTGCGTCTTCGCGCCCACCCTCTTCACTCTTATGTTATCTGTCATGCTGATGGACGCCTACCGTGATGAACGCACTGGGATTCACATCGCCAACAGTCAGGTTGGACAGCCACCTACTCAACTACCGGTGGATTCATTTCCAGTCGCGTGTATCCACAACTACAATTCACGAGCTTCTCTTCGATGATGACTGTCCCCTCAGTGTAACTACTGAAGAAGACATGCAAAGGAGCATGGATCTCGACTCGGCCGCACGCGAGAACTTCGGTCTGATCATTAACACGGGAAGACGGTGATCATGCACCAACCGCTACCCGAAGCTGCCTACAACGCACCTCAAACCAGCGTGCATAGGACCCAACTGTAAGTGGTGGATAACTTCACCTACCCGAGCAGTATCCTGTCCCGCAACACGGTGAAGTGGCCCACCGGAGTTCCAGAGCCAGTGAAGCATTCGGCTGTCTGCAGAACATCGTCTAGTACACTTACCGTCTCCATCTCAAGACGAAGCTGACGAGGCACAAGGCCGTCATCCTCCCGACGCTGCTGTATGGAGCGCAGACCTGGACGGTGTACGTGAAACGGGCACACCGACTCAACCACTTCCACCTCAGTTATCTTCGCCAAATATTGAAGCTGAGGTGACCGGACCGAATCGCCGACACTGATGTACTAGAGCGGACGGGAATTCTCAGCATCTACGCCATGCTGAGACAACTGCATCTGCGTTGGAGCAGGCACCTCGTGCGGATGGACAACTAGCGGCTACCTAAATGATTCTTCTGTGGAGATGTCGCCACGGGTTCCCGCCGCCAAGAAGGCCAAATCCGTCGATACAAGGACATTCTGAAGACCTTCCTCAAGCGTCTGCAGATCAACCCGTCCAACTGGGAAGACCTCACTCGAGACCGGCCGACCTGGAGGAGGACAGTGTTCGCGGTGTCAGTGGACAATCCGGACGCAAATTAGACGAGTTGGACACCTTCGGACCAACTGAAGCACTCAGACTGCCCCAACCGTTGTCTCTCCGTCCACCTCTCCCTCGCCTCCTACGCCGTCGACTAACACTGACCGCCCTCCCGAACCATCACTGCCATCCTCCTCCCCCTCCTCCTCCTCCTCCTCCTCCACTACCCCCAATTTCTGCCGTTGTGGCCTCTGCCAAGCACACCAACATTATACACAATCCTGACACACCAACAAACACCAACACTACCGCCGTCGACACAAATAGTTAGGACCTGTTCTACACCTATCCTCATTGCGCCAGCACCTTCGCCTCACACGTAGGCCTGATCGGTCACTTGAGAATCCATCGCACAGAGACTGGTGAGCCAGAGCCTGGAGCAATAACCTACACCCACCGCATTCGCCTTTACTGTCCACACTGCCCTCGCACATTCGTGCACCGCATGGGCCTGTTCGGCCAAATGCGTGTCCACGAGAGCGGAGTTGACCGTAATCTCGACACAACTAACATATCCAGTACACCTGTCATGCCTAGCCCACCTCACTCCGCCGCCCTGCGCGCCCACGGTCACCAGCTCCATCACACAGTGCATTCCACACCCACCACGCTCAGCCCTACTCACACCCCGTCGCCCAGCAGAGCCACCGCCACCATCACCGTAGCTGATACTGTCACCGCCGACTTCTCATATCCAAACTATCTCCGTACATTCACCTCACACATCCGCCTGGTCGATTACTTGCGTATCCATTGCACAGACACTGGCGAACTAAAGCCTTGAGCACCAACCTACACCAGCCGCATCAGCCTCGACTGTCCACATTGTCCCCATGCATCCACTTACCGCATAGGCCTATTGGGCAATATGCACATTCACGTAAACCTGTGATAGACAACCGCCGGCTACATCACACCATCACATCCTCTCGTATCGGCATCACATCCCGCATCAACATCACCCACAATAAGTACCCAAATGCCACCTCCTACGCAAATGGGAAATGTGTGTCTTGGCTCCGTCTCCATGCGGTTCCTCTGCTGAATGTGTGGTCCGAGTCTGAGAATATCACGGCGCGCCAAACGCCGTGGCTTGGAAAGCTGCTGACTGACGCCCCAACTCAGTCCACGCAGCCCGTCCAGTAGTGTGTGCGTTTGTGTGGAGTGCAGACTGGCGGGCTGAGTGTCAGGCTGATACGGCCCCTTCGTAACGTTACCTATGGCACATTCACACATATGGCATGTACGTCGCTCAATTCCCTTTGTGTGAAATTCTGGTGTTTGTGTATGGGATGTCAGGTCGTGCATGTGGCGCACGCAGGACCATGTCATTAGATATTTTAAACACCGCGCCCATTCCCTGCACCAGTCAACTGACCGGCTCGGACAGTGACTGGGGCCTGGAAAGGAGAAGGGAGATTGAGGTCGAAGACTTGGTGCATTTTCCTCACTATAAACAAGCGGACGCGCTTGAAGCTATCACGGTGAACTAAAAACCGTGGTTCGGAAAGTTGCCAACTTACGGGATACCTTCGACCTCGCAGTCCGCCCATTGTCGTGTGTTTATGTGGAGTGGCCTACTAGTGGTATAAGAGTCAGGCTGCGATGTCTGCTTCTTAATGTGGCCTTTACAGCACTCCCATTAGGTGGGATCCGAGCCAGGTACGACTTCGGCCGCGCCATCACCTTCTGCTGTTGTTGGTTAAAATCCTGGTCATTTTCTGTGTGGATCAGGGATGTGGAATGGACCGCCAAGGTGCGGGCTCGATTGCGCCATCCACCTGCGTCCCCCCCCCACCTCCGGTCTTCTTGACTTTGTCTTGACACTGGTTTCAGGCGGAGGAGGAGAGAGGAGTGTGGAAGATTCTGTGCAAGGGGTTAGGTTTATTGTTAGCGGTTACTGTTAGGGATTAGAATTAGGGTTAGTGGTTGGGGTTGGCGGACAGAGTTAGGGGTTAGTGTTAAACCGCCTATTACCACCGGTCACGTATGACATGCGGCTGTCGCTCGTCTACTGCACGTGCGGCTACGAAATAAGGACCGACCGACTAAGCTGGGAACTGGGGAGTGGAACTGGTGTAAAAATTCATGAACCTTGACAGTGTGCAACTTCAGCAAAACTCAGCAAGTCGAGCAGGCGTAAACGGAGGAAGGTATGAAAAACAGAGCTAAGAAGTGCCCACGAAGCCTACCGTATAGCCTTTCGAAAGTTATGGGAAGAAAAAATGATCCAAATCAGAAGAGAGACAAGTGAGAGACCACAAACAACTGGTACTAAATAATTAGAAATGTGGTCGTCCATTATCAGGACAGGCGCCTTCGGGACCGTGCAATGAGCGTAGAGGTGAGCACTGAAATTCTAATTTACTTGGTCACAGAAGTGTTGCCAACGGCCCTATTGACCATGTCTGGCGTCATTGTTCGGGACCCCCTTTCGTTAAAGTCACTCGGCTTCACAGAGAGCTGTTCCAGGCGCACTGACCTGCAGTCACTCGACCGACTTCAACTCCGACGCACGTGCGTCCACAGTGTCGCAGCTGCCCATGCGCCACTTAAACTTCCTATTCCCCTGCGAATGCAACGCTGGCCACTTGAACACCACGCACCCCTCGACAAATCAGCACACGCCAATTAGACGCCACTTCGGATTGCCCCACAAACCTACAAAAGCAGCTGCCACCATCGTTAAAGGACTCTCGGGGATGACTGAAAGCAGCCAATACTAGCCCTGACCTCGCTAGCGTCCACTGCTGCCTGTGAGGACAACTCAAGTTTCCGTTTCTGTATAAGGTAAACCTCTCAGTCTAATGACTTCTGTATTTTCCTACAACACGGAAATTGGCCCGATGATTGTGAGCACACTCTCACTGCGTAGAAGCTACAGTAACAGTATGCTTGGAGCGATGTCATCTTTTCTTCTAGACAGTTTTTATAACTAGGTGGGGATTATTTTAGGCTAAACGGTTTCGGTGGAGGTTCAACCGGAGTCAAATGGTCTGCTTTATGACAGTCTCAAATGGTGTACGATCAAATCTTCGCCATGCTTGGCTTGGTACTGTTTTTACTATGACTGACCTACAAAGATGAAACGGACAGGGTTCCTACGCGTGCACCGATCAGCACCAGTGGAGCTAGTGAGCACAAGCCATCCTCTTCCTCAAAACATAAGACTAAGTAACAGATGTTCAAGAACAACCTCCATTAAACACACGTGTGGAAAGTCAGTTCCGGAAATCAGCGAACAAGAAGTCACGCATACGACGTAAATCCTGACATTCAACAGCTTCTAGAAACGCAGTTGCATTAGACTGTTCGATCGACCGCTGAGATGCACTGAAGTGGGCCGAGAGCCGAAACTGTCGAATTAAAATGCCTTTGACGGATACTCTGGGTCAGCGGCTAGATGCGCAATTGCACCGAACGATGCTCACAGATACGAGACAGGAAAAAGAATATCTCAGAACGTAAATCTTGGTGAGCGCTCTCGTACGCCATGAACATTTCGAAAGCCGTCAGCCTCACTTCCAGCCACTCAGAGTCGAAGTTTGCAAATAGAAAGGAGGCAACCATTAGGCGCCAAGGGATGAAATAGAAAGATCCGCTCTCGTAGCAAAATAACCCAGGACCCAGTTTCTGAGGATGGTTTATATGCGATTAATGCAACTGCTTCGGAGAAAATGAAAGATTACTGCGAACGTCGGAACTAAGCAGGCGTATGGGAAAGTTGGTACTCAAGCGCGTGCCTGCCAGGCTAGGTAGGGAGGAAAATCGATCGTTTTTAAGTTCGATTCTCGCACATGTAATCGATACGAACCACTAAGTCGACGCCAAAGAGGCCTTTGAAGTTATCTACCCGGTGCCAGCACAATACTCTATAGGCCCATGCAAACGGGTGTTATGTATGCGAAACAGAAGGCAGGTTGTAGACAGGACGTGTACTGAGGACGGGGGACAGCACAAGTGGGAAGTCCTGTGGACAGGCGGGCTATATGGCATAGGGAGGATGTCATAGGCTGAATGGTGGCCAGTTACAGTGCGTGACCGATCTCATGAAATGTTGGTCGAAATTCTGAATTGTGTTTTCGATTAGAAAGGATTACGTAGGTGGGGTTGTAATATTGATTAGCATGCAGCATAATCCTATAGCATTTTGGACTCACTAGGATGTAGGCTTTTGGATCCACTCCTTCTTGACCTTCTACAGAAACCACGATCTACAAAAAATGACTACTTGAGTAGCATGCACTTATTGCATTGATTTTCGATGGCCTTACAAATTCAAATATATTTTCTAGAAAACGGGCACAAAATATGCCTTCACTTACTCGTTCTGTGGAAAATCGTCCTGTCTTAATATTTTATATCCGAAGAAAGTGTATATTTAGGTTTTAAACAAGTTTTCAATTTCTGAATAATCTTGAGCCAGATCTGCCACAGCACTAGCGTTTAGCGCACTGAGCACCCGACTTGGGCTTCGTCGCCAACTGTCGCATAGAGTAAAAATGTGATTTCTGAATAACAGTAATTTTGCTGGCTTTCTAACGTATTCATATCGAAAAAGAGTGGGCGTTCACCGGGAGGGGTTTATTTGAGATCCGACGTTTCGGGTAGTTTACTCGTCTACCCATCTTCAGGGACTAGGAGGTCCTGTGCACAGCACTCCTTATTATGGCGCCCTTTGTCCAATGCGTGATCCTCCAATGCCGCCTGCGTGGCTGCATCCCACCCGCATGTCACCGTGACTTGAATCGCCCCCCGTCGGCCGCGGTGATGACGGATGGCCCCGATTGTCCCGCGCCGTGACTGTCCCCCGCTAAGAAGGTTCGTCAAGTCAGATAAGGGGGAGGCAAATTGATGCAGCGGTTGACAGAGCGGTCGGTGGACATCCAGGCTTCTTGCACTTGCCTTGCTGTGTGATCGCTGCCCCGGCCCACAATCTCAACGGCGTCAAAGTTGAAGATGTGTCCCATTTGCGCGGCATGGGTTGCTACCTCCGGCTCCTCTTCCATCGTGAACTGTAGATCGGGCATGATTGAGTTCAGTACTTCCGCATAGTAATTGATTTTACCCTGGTCTATGATCACGAAGATGTCATCAACGTAGCGTGCCCAAAACTCGGGTCTTTCTTCGTCAAACCGGCGCCACAGACGAGATAAAGGACCTCCTTCGACATCAAGTCCCTTCACTTCTCATGTCGCACCGGAAAACCCATTGCCTGCTAAGAGATGAACAAAAGGCCCTAAGGGAGCTGAAAGCGGACACCGAAATAGTTATTCTGCCTGCTGACAAAGGCCGGTCAACCGTCATCCTCGACAAGGTGGACTACCGACGCAAAGCCCTCCTGCTCCTCAACGATCGACAGTCCTACAAAGTCAGCGACGCCGCCAGTCTAAAGTCCCTAGTGGCAAAGGTTAACAGAATTCTGGCTCGACTAAAAAAGGACAAGGTCATCACCGTCAAAGACTGGTATATGGCAATGCCCGCAGAAACCGCTATGGCGAGATTCTATGGTCTCCCGAAAGTACACAAGCCAGATGTTCCCCTCCGTCCTATCGTCTCGCTCCGAGGCACACCCACATACGGACTTGCAAGCTGGCTATTTCAGAAGCTAAGATTCCTAACTGCAGGCTCACAAACAACGGTGCACTCAGCAGAACAATTCCTTGACAAAATAAGGACAGTCACGATCGAACCGAATTAATGGATGGTGTCTTTTGACGTTGTTTCACTCTTCACGTCTATACCACAGGCCCTTGCGGTCGAAACGCTCAGTGACCTGCTACGTCAAAATTATGACGGGGGCGATGGACAGCCCACAGCTCAGGATCTCATAGAACTCATGGGGCACTGCCTCAAGACATTCTTTACCTTCGACGGGACCACATACGAGCAGATCAAGGGCACTCCAATGGGTTCACCAATCTCCGGACTCATTGCCGAGGCGGTTCTACAAAAACTCGAGAGACGACTATTCGAGGAGTACAAGCCCAAGTTTTGGGCACTCTACGTTGATGACACCTTTGTAATCATAAACCAGGGTAAAATCAATTACTATGCGGAAGTACTGAACTCAATCATGCCCGATCTACAGTTCACGATGGAAGAGGAAGTCGAGGACAAACTTCCATTCTTGGATATTCTCGTCTGCCGCCAACCAAATGGCGAACTAGCGACGTCGGTCTACAGAAAACCGACGAACACGCTGCAAATTCTCAGCTACAACAGCAACCACCCGCCACAACACAAATGAAGCTGTGTCCGCACGCTGTACCGACGCGTGGAAACTCATTGCAGCACGCCAGCCGCCAAACTGAATGAGATAAAGCTCCTCCGCGAACTTTTCAGGGCCAATGGCTATCCGCGGTCATTCATTGAACGAAGCCGGAGGCAGCCAAAGAAACGGAACGAGGAGCATAGTCAGCCAAACTCGTGGCGGAGCATTCCGTACATTAAAGGGGTCTCCGAAGTCGTGGCTCGATCACTCGCGCCACTCGGAATAGGTGTTGCCCACAGGCCTGACTCAACAATCCGCCGGCAAGTGATGCGGCCGAAAGATCCGATCCCTAAGCAGGAGATGTCGACCGTTGTCTACCGACTTCAATGCAGCTGCGGAAGTTGCAACTACGTTGGGGAAACCGGCCGACGGCTACAAACGCGAATGCGCGAGCATAAGTTGGCCGTGCGAAGGTTGGACCCAAAGCCGGAGGTAGCAACCCATGCCGCGCAAATGGGACACATCTTCAACTTTGACGCCGTTGAGATTGTGGGCCGGGGCAGCGATCACACAGCAAGGCAAGTGCAAGAAGCCTGGATGTCCACCGACCGCTCTGTCAACCGCTGCATCAATTTGCCTCCCCCTTATCTGACTTGACGAACCTTCTTAGCGGGGGACAGTCACGGCGCGGGACAATCGGGGCCATCCGTCATCACCGCGGCCGACGGGGGGCGATTCAAGTCACGGTGACATGCGGGTGGGATGCAGCCACGCAGGCGGCATTGGAGGATCACGCATTGGACAAAGGGCGCCATAATAAGGAGTGCTGTGCACAGGACCTCCTAGTCCCTGAAGATGGGTAGACGAGTAAACTACCCGAAACGTCGGATCTCAAATAAACCCCTCCCGGTGAACGCCCACTCTTCTTTTGATATGCCACCTGGGAATCGGATTTTCACTACTATTTATGTATTCATATCGACCCAACTGTGAAAAATTCGGCGTCTCGGTGGGATTCGAACCCACGCAGTAATGAGAAGGCTTTAGTACAGCCAAACGCTCTAACCACTTGAGCTACGAGGCCCCGCCGGACGACGCGTGTTTAATCATATTGGAGTAAAGTTACCCGCCCAACCTACTGCAACGTCTGGAATCCACCAAATCTGATACCGGGGCGCCGAGTTTTCACAGTTGGGCCAACATGAATTATCCAGAATCTGCCAAAATATCTATTCTAACGTATTATATTTAAAAGCCTTAGGCAGAACGTATGTCATTTCCATTATGCAGATGCATACAGTGGAAGCGTTACCTACGCTACCCCTTACTAATCCACGTATTTTACTCTTCTCTGCTTGAACGTATGCACAAATTTTGCCCCTTCTCTATGTTATTCGCAGCTAATGGATCTGCTTTAGAGTGTTCAGGAGTTGTTCATTTCAAATTACATCTTGAACAGTCATACAAGGACCATGATTTCTTAGTAGTTCCCGGCCTCACATGGGACTTAATGTTAGGTATTGATTTTCTTAGCAAATACGACTGTCGTATCAATGTGAGAGATAGAGCTGTCAGTTTCGGTGGAGAAAAAGACTTGGCGAAAGCTTCCGATTCGATTAACGAAGCTGTTGTTTGCGTGAAAATTTCTACCGTCGTGAGTCTACCACCCACAAACATTGAAGATATCCTAAAAGACCACACGGACGTGGACACGCAGCATAAAGACTTCGGTCACTGTTATTATCCTTTCACGATGTTTTCGCGTGGGATGAAAGCCAGATTAGTCGTACGTGCTGCATGCGGCACACTATTGAGACAGAAAACCCGAAGCCCGTGTGGCAACCTCCTAGACGGATACCGGCCCACTTACAGGCAAAAGTTAACGATCTTTTGGACAAGATGTTGAAGGCTACCATCATTATACCCTCCCATTCACCCTGGGCGTCTCCGGTCACTCTAGTACCAAACAAGGATGGCAAATTACGTTTCTGTGTGGATTACAGGGGATTGAATGCCCTTACCTTTAGGGATTCTTTGCCTTTGCCACGGATTGACGTTACTTTGGATGCCTTGGCCGGTGGTAAATGGTTTTCAGTTTGGGTCTCAAGTCTGGATACTGGAAAGTAGAGGTTGAACTTAAAGATCAAAATAAGACAGCTTGTATATTGTCACAAGGATTATTCGAATTCGAGACAATGTCCTTCGGTCTATGCAACGCTGCGGCTACGTTCCAAAGACTGATGCAGGTGGTTTTATCACACCTTTTCCCAACACAATGTTGATCTATTTAGACGACGTGATCGTCTTCGGAAGGTCTGAAGATGAGCATAACCTTAGGCTCACGACAGTACTGACAGCTTTGCGTGACGCAGGTTTACGCCTGAACCCGGCAAAATGTTCCTTCCTTCGGCAGAAGGTCACGTACCTGGGCCACGAGGTCAGTGCAGAGGGCATCCATGCATCCCCAGAAAAAATCGACATTATCCGCACGTGGCCCGTGCCGACGTCAACAACCGAAGTACGCAGTTTCGTAGGCCTTGCGTCATATTACAGACGCTTTATCCCGCAGTTCGCGGAGATTGCATGAATTCGCATTTGACCAAACTCAGCCCGTCTTCCCTCCATCGGCTTATGAGAGACAGGTTCGAGTCAGGCTGACAGGAATCGAGTAGACAGCAGATGCTGAGTGACGTGCTAGGACTCTGCCGCCTAGCGCGATCCGATAGTTCGAATGTTGCAAAACGGCAAGGGCAAACAATATTTAGGGTCCCCAGTCATGACTAGCTGCGAACCGGGTTATAGATAGGAAGATTTTTGTGGTACTTGCCTTTACGCCTATTTCCATACCCGCCCTCTTCGACTGGCAAGACGAGGTCAAGACAAATAAAGGGCGTGAGCATGTATCGCCCTGTGCGTGTACGAGGGCTCCACCTCTGGCACTTACGCCAGGTTAGGATTCATGTGATTACGACTCCCGAACAGTCGGAACGTGCGCGTATGCAGTTTCCAGGACAGCCATTCACAGGCGCCCAGAGATGTCTCAATCACCCAATCAACTCACCTGGGTGGCGCTGACGGATTCTCACATGACATACGTTCACGCCCACATCACCCTACTGGAGACGTGAGGAAGTGCCCAGAGCCGGCAGCGCACTGAGGCTCCGCCCATCACTGGATTTCTGTACAGAATACACAACTTATACTGGTTTCGCCCCCTCGTCCTCTGAAACGGGACCGGACCGTAATTATTGTAGTGGTATGAGTACACTTACTACTTGAACCCCACAAACACAGTGACAAGTGTGATTCAATCCTTGTAAACACGCAGATGATGTCGTGTGCCCCGCAGCATGGGGGACGCGGGGCGGTGACTGGCGCGTGAATTAGGTTACAGTGGGAGCAGACTTGGGCAGCACCTGCCGCACTATCATTCGCCTGGGGCCACTGGAAAGACTGAGCCATAACAACTAGAGGTAGGCTCGGTGGAGTGGTTGGCAATGCTAAACGGCCCGCCTACGTGTGCCGCATGCCTGGCTTACGCACGATGGGTCATATTTTCGCATTTGTCGGCTGGGATCCCACATGAGTAGGTGTCATGGAGGCGAAGTTCAGATGTAACAACTGCAGCCTGACCTTCCGTCGCGGGAGGAACGAATAACCCCGTCAGCTGACAGCCTTCCAAGCCAAGACTTTTAGCTCACCGAAATAGTTTAGAAGCACATCAGATTTATTAAAATGAGAAAGTGCACTGATGTGCTGTGAGGGCCGAACCCGAGAGTCGACCTCACTCTATCTTCCATATCTCGTGCACCAGTCCGCTGTCAGAGTCGATTAGCTATCTGATGTTTAGGTCGGACGCAAGTGGTTGGCGTGGCGCAAGCCTGCGCATGGATGTGCCACCACACTCCCAATTGTGGCACTTTTTATGGAATGCGCAGACTCTGAGCAGCCAGATTCGTCCATGCCGCGTGCTAAGCTGGCACAAGCATAACTCCCGTGTGGCCCCATATAGCAGCCAGCCATACGCGTACTGTTTCCCACACGAACGAAGGATGAAATGCAAAAATAGGTCTGAGGTCTATCATAAAACACTTTCCATAAAGGTCCGCCACTTGGCAGTCCCTCATCGTATAACGTCTAATTCGCCGTGATAGTTTAGGCGTCCTAGATTGCCCACAGCAAGGAAGCTAGACACTGGGTCATCCTTACCCTCCCTATCCGTGGCAAATCGAAATAAAGCAAACTTGGAATGAGATTAGGTCTAGTGATCAACGTGACGCAAAGCTTCCGTTTAAAGTGCCACACGCACGACTAACGCGAACCCCGACTGCGTGTGCACGACATGCTACTCGCCATGTCTGAAGTTAGCTAAATTTATTAAATAATATTTGCATGAGTGGTGTGTGATATTTTGGTGGTTGCTGTTGTGAATGTGCACATGATCGGGTAGGCAAATGTAGTAATTAGATGCACGGAGTCGGCGTCAACGGGTAAATCCTGGGCGGTCACCGACAGGAGCTCCTGAGGACGGTAGCCCATTCGTGATGCAAACAATTCACAAGTGTCCGATCAGGCGCACGCACGACAGGAGCGAATGACAGAGGGGAAACTGTTAACATTGCTTTGACGTTGTTGATGCTTGGCACCGGCCTGGCCCTTGGGGTCTTGTCCCACGAATAAAGTAGGATTAATGACTCAACAGCACCAACAATTTGAGGCTTCACTAGGGTTGGCTCGCAAGTCAAAATTGTTCTGGACCAGCCGGGTATTCAGACCCAGATAAATGGGCGCATGCCCAAAATTGGGCAAATGGTCGGCATTATACGGGTCATTTATCGTGAAAGATCCGGTTATTTGTTTACCCAGATGGGTATTGACAATCTCAGGACCCGATGCAGGTCCAACAATTACTGGCCGTCAAGAGTTATACGTTATTTTTACGCCATTCCATGATGTATAGATTATGGGGAAGATAACTGTGACACTCGTACTTGAGAAGACATAAAACAGAGGTACATAACGTAAAGTATGGTGGTATAGAGCGTTTCTACACGCATCTGTTTAGGGTTAATGCTACTTCCACCTGTGCGACTTTTAATAGAAAATCTTGCGGGTTACAAAAATCATGGTGCGAAGACCTTGTGCCAGTATTTTATATATTAAACAGCGTTGTCACTTTTAGAAATCTGGGTATCAAGCGACGTCAACTGAACCGATTAAAGTCAAAATGAATGTTCTCTTCTATGGCACGACAATAGAACAACAAGACTGACTAGAATACCCATAAGAGAAAATCACTCAGAAAAGTTAATTAGAATGGGTCGCTAGAAAATATAATATGCTCCCTTATGTACACTACGTACACTCTGCCCAAAATCAAAGCATTGGGCAGGAAAAATTGTATTGCTGCAATCTTCACATTCTCTAGACTTTATTTTTGAAACTAATCCCGAAGACACAAAGGACTTCGCCATCATCTAGCTATTTCGGGGTCGTTCTTTAATATGAATTGCAAATGCGCATCTCCAGCGTCAACAAGTCAGAACTCATGATGACGAACACTAATCCAAAATTTGCTTCCAGGTCCCCGGACATGAGAGCAACCCTCGAAGACAATTATCAGTCCAGTTCAGCAAGAAACCGTCTTGGACCAAAACGCGACTACAATAGGATGTTGTCCCGCCGAATCGGGTCAATGCAAAGAGGGACTGGACATGCGCAAGTATGCGACGGTTTCGTAAGTAATTTGGCTTCAAAAAAACAAAAGGCGGGACACGAAGAAGGCACACGGATGACTCTCCGCACTCCACTTAGTATCAAGGTTATACCGACGAAGGAAATGCAGCAGTGGGTCCGGACACGGGCCTGACGCAAGCATCTGCGAAGTGCTTGAGTAACTAGAGACCAGACGTTTCACAGATAAGTCATAAAATGGCTACTACTTTAAGTGCCCTATTCCCATCTCTAAATGACAGATGGATGCTGAATATCATGCACATGGGGTCTCTAAATTCTACTACCTGTTGGTTATAGTGCCACCTGCGGGAGGTGTGTAAGAACACCATTTTGGCTTCCAAAAGCATGGCAACTGCTCTGGAAGAGAACATATATTCTTTACTATTCTGTCGAGCAAAGATAATAAGCTGTGACGGTTCAACTGGGACAAGCGACATCCACCAAGAGCAGGGAGCGGCAGTTATTTGTGTGAGGCAAGCAAAAGTTGTACATACCTTATTCGCCCTCTGCACCCACTTCTTGATAGCAAGATGAAGTCAATACGTCCGTAAGGTGAGGAAACAATGGCTGGCGAAATTGAGCAGCCCATCTACGCGTGCCACACAACCTGGTTTCTGTCTCCACACGTATTAGATCCCATCCAGGTGATCGCGAAACTCACACGAGAGGGATGGCCATACAGGTCACGTCGGGGAACAACTGCAGCCTGTCCGTTGTTCTTAACCACAAACGCACCATCCCGCTAGGTTGCAGCCCTCTAAACTACGACCGTCAGGGTTGTTGGCTCTCAAGCGTGCCTATAGGTTTAGCCGGGAAACATGAATCATTGGATTCAAGCTGAGTCGACTTTATTCTCGCTTCTAGTACACCAGCGATCTGTCACAGTTAAATCGACCTGGGATGAGATTGGACGGGGCGGTTGACACAGCGGGAAATGGTCGTCTAAAACGACCCGCGTGAACTCAGAGCGCGGGAATCTGTCACCCAGTTGTTCCTACTTCTAGGGTGCCCCCAAGCTAACGCATGAGGCATCCTTCAACTACGTTGAGATGGCCCAAATTAGGGAACACGATCCTCAGCAAATATAATGTTGACAAATTGTTGGCCGAGGGAGGATGCGACTAATATTTGCCAAGAAACACAAGCCCACGCCGTTGGCTCCCTTTGATGTAATTGCTTCGCTGGACCTCTCTCAGCTTATGCCCTAGGTCCGTTTATCGAACCATGCTGAGTCTGCGGGCTTCTTTAGCTACTGCCGTGGATGGTGACTTTCACATCATGTCAAATACTGCGCCCAACATCACTATCAGTCGGTTGATAGGCTCGGAGGGCCTGTTGGTAGGTGGGAGCGAGAGGAGTGAGGTAGATTCAACGTAGTTATCCCTTACAATAAACAAATATATCGTTGGACCAAAGTCGTGGCGAACCCCGTTATCCGTAAAGGTAGAACTATCAGAGGACAGAGGGATCTGGAGGACGCGGGAGGGGATTAGTTGAGTTGTTTTACATGCTTAGGCAAATTGTACTCGATGATATGGCGCAAATAACATTTTTGGCACCAGCTACAAGCATTCATTAACAATAACCGGAGAGGCATGCACTTTTATGTATGAGATTACCAGAGTACACGAAGTCGCTGTGGCAGGAAAAGGCTAAAAACACACTATATATTGGAATGTCCATTAAGCGACCGACTGTGCTCGGGGTTGCGCATGGAAATACTCGTTCTGTTATGCACCTCATGACGGACTGATATGCAAGGCCTAACACAAACGTAGTGACCCTCCTGCGCACGCCTGAGCAATTAGCTACATGGAAGTTGGTTATCAACGAGAAATCGAAAATCCAACCCTTAGGCAGTTTTTGAATGCCGATGTTACCATCTTTTTAGTAAAAATTGACATAATCAGATTCCGCTCTCGGGCATGGAAACAGTACATGATTAATCACAACAGACTAGCTTACGTAAACATAATTTCCCCACACAGTCCTCAGCAGTAAAAACAGGCAGGAGAGAAAATCAACAGGCAATAGTTGGAAACTCCAGAGTTAAACACTTAACACTGGTACATAGGCACACCCAACTGTAAGCCTCGATTAACAAGATGAGAGGAGGGCGGAGGCGGCCGGCACGGTAGCATACTGGAATCTGTCAGTAGAAACCACATAGTCGGCCATATCAAGAGCCAGGGCACAGGAATCGCGCACTACCGGCTCGGGATCGTTAAGGCCGGCTTGCAGGGCAGCACGGGCGCGCTGCACAAAGTCAGCATTTGGTCCGCTCTCATTTCCAACATCGTCCTCGGCGGCACCGACCACCTCACCAAGAGCCATGGCGGCCTCGTGACGCACCATTGGGTGCTCTGCAGACCCGCTCTCTAAACACGCGAGCAGCGAGCCGCCCGTTTTTGTGAGACTCAATTGACCTAAGATGAAAGCCACTTCATGACGCAATAAAGCGGAACCGGGCGCTGCGAGGGCCGCCGACAGGGCCTCGATGATCTCTTGCATGCGCTTGACGTCAAAAGCCGCGTCCGGCATGAGGCTAGCGTTGCGTAGACTGAAGAGAGCCTGATAGCGAGAAAAGAGTTTCTCCTCCGGGTTGAGTAGAATGCTCCTCAGTTCAGAGATGGAGCGGCTACCGGTTACGTCGCCATTTGCTGCGGAGATAGTGGGAAAGGCCGGTGCAGGGTCCACGGTATTGGGGAAGCGGGCCTCAGCAAGAGCTGCAGTCGAGTCCATATGTTGGCCCATGGCAAGCCAGTCAAGCCGGCCAAGACCCACCTCACAGGTCTCTGATAGCTGTTTTTGGGGGTAAAACAGGGAACATCATCTCAAGTCGTACCAATTAAATCGTTAAAATGTAAGTGACAGATATAAAAGGATACTATGCAACAGGAGCACAGCGATGCTGTCTCGCAATTAATGTAGCGATAGCGTTGATGTGAAAGGCATTAGAGTACTTACAGGTAGATTGCGATGATTGGAAAGCAAAACAAGACACATTCTGATTCGAGAAAAGGACCCTTTTATCAACAAGGAGCATAAGGAAAGCAAAAAAATCAGTTTTAGGTATGCCTGCTAAAATTCTGACGAAGTCCACGGCTCCTTGTTTGTCAGGCCCGAGGTCCGCTTACTTCGCGGCTGCCCTTTGCTTAATGCCGTTGTACAACCCGCCGCTCCTGGAAGCACCGGATTGTCCGCAGCCGGACTAACAGACGGGTATGTTTCCCCGAGGTTTCTGTCGTCCCGTTCAGAAGGGTGCATCTAAAAGTCACGCAATTTGCAGAAGTCTTGAAGAATTTAGTCACCTCCACTGGCGATCCCGACCATGAAGAAGGAGGCACGATCGCTGAGACAAGAGCTTTATTCGCCTGACGTTTCGGATTCCAGCTCGAACCCATTGTCTTATAAAATGCCGCAAAGCCCAATGACGTTACTGTGACATGGCGACAGTGGGCATTTACTAAGTATGTTTCCTAATCATAGCTGACTTGCAGTTAGGTTCCAAAATGCCAAAGTGCTTGACAATACAACCTTAACAGATGCTTTGGTAAATTTTGAATAATTCATTTCAACCCAACTGTGAAAAACTCGACGCCTCGGTGAGATTCGAACCCCTGACATCAAGGGGAGGCTTTAGTACAGTCAACGCTCTAGCAGTCTGAGCTACGAGTCCTGCCAGGAGACGTGAGCTTAATCACATTTGGGTCAAGTTACCCGCCCAACCTACTAAACGTCTGGAATCTATACAATCTGATACAGTAGGCTGACTGTCCAAGCAGGATTTCCTAATTAATCCGCCTAGAATCCACCGGGTGACTACCAGGATGGGCGGGTAAATTGACCCAAATGTGACTAAAGTCACGTGTCCCGGTGGGACATCGTAGCTCCGGTGGCTAGAGCGTTGGCTGTACTAAGGCCTCCCCTTGATGTCATCGGTTCGGATCCCTCCGAGACATCGAGTTTCTCACAGTTAGGTCAAATAAATACAACCTTACTTTAACACAAGAGATGCCTTTGAGGGCTTAAGCAGACATACGCGGTGGTTTGTAGAGGCCCGTCCGCAATGAAATGCGGTAAGATCTTATTTCGTAGCCGTACCTTTTAGGAATTAGTGTTAAACCCCCTATTACCACCAATCTAGTATGACAGGCGGCTGGGGCTTGTCTACTGTAGGCGCGGCTACGAAATAAGATCCGACCGAAAATGCTAATGAACAGTAAGTATAGCAGAGGCTGCATGCAGTACAAGCAACATGAAGACAGTCAGGTAGCAGGGCATGACTGGCAGGTGGTGGCGTGTAAATCAGAAGCGGTCACCCCAGATCCCCCTCCCTCGCCGGTAATGCCTGTCGAACATGCATCCGCTATAGGCTACTACTTTGTTAACTAAGCGACTTCAACCTCCTCGAAGTTCGCTGTCCAAAGATACTTTCACGACTGACCTCAAAAACGACGTCGTTTTCAGCTGTGTGCGTGGTAACATTCTGGCGGTCAAGTTACTTAACATATCACTGCAATCTCATCCCAACGTTGTCTTCTGTACGCAAATCGTCTTAAGTACCAGAGGCTTCTGATATGAAGTACGCATAGATACCGTAGGACAAGCAACTTACTGTAAACAACTGTGGGAATGTCGGTATCGAATAGTCAATGGCAATTAGCAACATAATGCAGTAAAAAAGTCAGAGGTAGAAGCAGCAAAGTCACCGGCTAAAGCTTCTCCAAACTATTGAAAGGAGGATACATGAGGGTTTATGCACACTCACTTCCACAATGGAACTGCCGACAAAGTCGGAGAGGATGGCGCGAATACGCACCACATCAGCGCCAGGTCGCCCAGCAATGGCGGCTAGTGCTTCCCCAGCCTCGTGCCGGACAATTGGCTCATGACAAGGGTTCCGGATCACGCGTTCCAGGGCATCTATTGAAGTGACGTCGCCCTTCTGGCCTAGACAATATGCAGCTTCGTGTTGAAGGAGAGCGTTCGCGCCGGGGGAAGGCGGCACCACCTGGACAATGTAGTCGGCTAGTAACTGGGCTGCCAGGGGTTCCTTAGCGTGTCTAAGGCCCCACATGGCCTGAGCACGGGAAACCAAGGAAACTTCAGGCTTTCTGATAGTCTCGCCCCAGGCGCGCAGTTCGGCCTCGGGGACAGGTTGGACAACCGTTGTAGCTGGAGACATTGAACTTGAAAGGAAAATGGGAGAGCAAGGAGCGCTGGGAGGAAAGGATGAACATAGTATGTTTGATATGGGCACGAGAAAATAGTCAGGCGACTGGTTGGAATAGGCTTTAAGTTGATTGGTTACGTAAATGGCCTCCGACGAGTGCATCAACAAGCAGGTAAATCAGAAGCCGTCGTAGTACGGACTTTTCACTGTGCTTCGAGCAGGACTACTGTGTGCGCTACGGAAGGAGTAGGAGCTCAACACATGTGCTGCCTGCTCTCCACGTTAATCCTCCATATATTGAAGAGAGAAATACTTTTGCAATAGAAGCCAAAACGCGAGTTCTAGGAAGCGGTTGATAAGATGCGACTGCTGTAACAAAAATCGGTAGGACTGACTTATATGGCTCACTGAACAGGACATGAGAACAGAAATCGCCTGCAGTACGGGAGGCTTTGAGGCAAACTTCAGTGAAATTAGGGTTAGACTAAGGACTAGGTTCAAGGCTAGATTTAAAGTTAACGATAAGGTAAGTCAGGATCAAGTTAAGGGTCAAGGTAGGGCTAAGGTTAACTGGTGAGTTAAAGTTTATAGTAGGGTTAGAGTCAACATTAGGGCATCGGTTTAGTTTTCTATTAGGGCTATTGTTGGGGTTGGGACGCGGGAACATTTTGCTCTTCCCAGAATTCTGCGCAGATCCACTTTCATCACTTGAGCGAGTCAGAGTGGGAATCCGAAACGCCAGGCGAATGAAATTCTTGTCCCAGCGATCACGTCCCCTTTTCAGTAATAAACTTGCCCGAATGGTAACTTTTTTTTCTTAATCTCTCCATATTCACTCTTTTCTATCGTGAACGGTCGCGTGGGAGAACGCAAAACGGCCATGTGGCTTATCGAAAAAACGCGTTTTGCAGTAAAAGAATTAGCCGTGGGCTCCTTGTTTGGCTCCCTCCTCAGATCTCGAGAACACAGAGAACGATGATTCATCGCACTCTGAATACTGATTGGCGTAAAAATTAAACACTACTTCGGTCGGAGAGTGCACATGTTTCTCCATAGAGTAACACATGATGGCAACTGTAATGGAGTCACGTGCGCGACTGGGCGAATAAAACTGAGGCATCCTTTAGAAATATACAGAGTCACAACTGACCGTTACCAAGAAGGAAGATAGTTTCTGCCAAAAGAGGACTGTGACAAAGTGTGGCAAAATCCAAAGACCAGGTGGGGGCAAACGAGTTCCATATATAGCTGAAGACTTTAGGCAAAATGACGGTTCCTTAGCATATGGACTTAGCATTAAGTACACCAGAGATCTGTCGCCATTATGAGAACCATCGCTCCTTGAGTGATTATAGGAAGCCTACGAAAACTGTACTAGCTTTAGAGGAATAACAGAAGGAGATCTGGACCAGACGACATTTGAAGAAAGGAGTTTTGGGTCATTCGGGTATAAGAAACAAAGTATAGAAAAACAACTCAGAAAATAATGATTTATTCAAAAAGGAACGAAGACGAGGGCAGACAGTAGATCAGGATAGTCGGGAGGGGGTTCATAGGACGAGTAGTCTATTTGTGGCAATACGGTAATACTGGTCATTAAAGCCCACATTTATCAATCAACGAGGTAGGGAACCACCTCCTTAACCCATGGGAATGAGAGCGGAGGGGAAGTGATGAGTCGCCGTTAGATATGAATAAAATAGGTAGAGGAAAGACGGTAGGGGAAGGTAGAACAAGAGACATTGGTCCGCAAAGGGAACGGTCATATATCGCGTAACAGCCACACTTTCGAAATACCTTTTGGTTAATACTAAAAAGGAAAGTAAAATGACGCAAAGCACATGCATATGAAGATGAAAGGTTTAGAAAATGAATATAAAATGTGCGTGGGACGGCAGGGAATATTGCACAAGAGCGAGACGAAACACGATTCTTGTAGACGAATCGTTTTGGTTCAGTCTGAGAGAAGAAGATAAAACAGTGCAGAACCACCGACCACACATCCCATGGTGGAAAAATAGAAATATTGGTCGAAAGGGAGACGGGAGATTACCTTGAAAACTACGCATGATTTGCATATATCTGCACAACAAGTACAGTTGCCTTACACAAAGAGCTGATGGAAAATATTGCACATAGGAATTAGTCATTGGTGAGGGGGAGTTCAGGTGAAATGATTGTGGAGCACAAACGCACAAAATACGCGTCAACGTCAGAGATGTCATGCAGGAGAAGTGGAGGGGCTTTCAAGATCGTCAACGCTGGTACCGACTTCCGCAGTGCGTTTAGAGCCCGCTGTCTGCATATGTTCCAAAACCGACGCCAATGAAGTCATCAACGCCTCCTTCATCTGGAGAATAGTTCTAGAAGAGATCAAAAACGAATAACTGTGCACCGTGGTCGCCAAAATGCTAGACGGCACAAGATAATGGCTAGATTATCCAATGGCAAAACCCATTGTTATCCATGTAAAAACTGAAATAATCACTAGGAATGTAAAGTAACGAAAACAATAAACTGAATCAACGGAGGTGAATGGAGAATAGAGAAGCGGCAATTTACCGTGATACTCGCTCTGACAACAGTAGACTGGTTAGAGTTAAAATGCGTCAGACAAAAGCGCAGGCCAGCAGGTGAGAGGAAGTTGCATAAGCTACTATGAGTAATAACTTACAGATACAGGAATGGGCAGGCGACACGGACGAGGTAATAACGACTTATGAAATGTGACCTTAAGCGAAGAGGTGTCGAATACTGCAAAACAAAACAACCTCAACGTCAGAAGAAGTGAGTAGCTCAAAACACTGTCAGCAGATGTTTGAAGTGGGGCCGGCCGAACTCTAACAGGGTTCTTTGCCTGGCAACCAGTCGGCACACATGGTCGACAGGTAAATTTCGCCTTTGATTGGGATTGCAACTCCTTATCTCAACCAGTTCGTTTTAAATGCTGGAAACACGAAATGACACATGCTTCAAGCACTACCAAACAATGAAATGGAATAACACCGAACAGAGCCCCATGGGATCGTCCAATTTGCACATAAACTGACATATACCATTTACTGCACCTGTATCAGGCAAGTGCGATCGAGTCGGGTTCCCAACGTTGTCGATGTTGTTGTTGGTATAAATCCAGGCCGCAAAATGCCAGGTAAAACACTAACTTTTGTGGAGTTTAGTTCGAGGAATACCGCTGATGGAATTTAAACGCCACCATATTCATCCTGCTGTGGATATTTGGTTATTTGCATGGACATGCATAAGGTACCATTACAAGTCACGCTTACTCATTTCGCACAAATTCTCGCGTCTTCGGAATATTGCCTTATAAAAGATATATTCTCAATCAGCGTGATATTATTTTGAACATTCTTTCTGTGTTTTTATTTAGTTAAAAGCCGTTCACTGTCAGATAGGCGTCTTGATAAGCGAATTTGGACCAGTCTCCGAGCTACGCAGAACTGTTCGTGAATTTGTGCACACTTCATGAGTTAGAGCAACTTCTGAATAAATGTTCAAATCTCTACACAATTTAGAAGTAGCCCTTACAGTAGTGATGAAAAAGCGCGATTAAGAATAGAAAGCGTTAGAAAAAAAAACAAAACTTGGGAAGATACCGCCGTGACGCTGTGATAACAGCAAAATCCGACACCATTAGAGCTTAAATATGCACCGTCAAAAAGAAAAAGGGAGAAAAAACCCACGTGTCAATACGGTCCATCCGCTGGGTGAGATGGGCAGCCAAGCGATCATCGAGTGGGCGCTGTTGTTGTCGCCGTCGCTGGTGACGGGGATCAAATAGAACTGGACGAACACGTCCCGAGGCGGAGCAGTCGCAAGCGCTTGACCACGTTTTGTAGGTTCTTCGTGTCCGCTGAATGGGGCCGTCGGCAACCCGTTGATGCTCCGTTCCCGTAGAAGCGGAGGATGTAGAGGTCTTTCGCGCCAAGTCGCCCTCGGCAGGCGCCGGAGTGAAGGGACTGTCGAGAAATATTCCCAGCCAACTACTGCTGTGTTCTAGCAGCCGCTGCAGCCGCTCAGTTTCCAGCACCACTGAAGGAGACGTCGCGACGGTGTAGGGCTCCGTTGTAGGCGGGCTGGAGGCCTCAATATGCAGGTGGGGTGGATCGAGAGGTGGGGACGCACAGTTTAATGGCGGCGTATTTGTGACAGAGACAGGCGTCGGATTACAAGTGTGATCCCCGAGACGCGAGGCACAAAAGACATCCTGTGGACAGTACACGGGAGAGGGGAAGTAAGGTTAAAAGGGAGCGCGGGACCCCAGCAAGTCGGACGGGAAGAAAACAGCGTTAACGGAACGCATGGCTACTACCTACTGGGAACTAATCAGGTGAGCTGTGTGGTTGAGTCTGCTGGCAAGGATAAAACAGGAACAAAAGGAACAGCTTAATTCGGAGTCCATACCTTGTGAAAATATGCTTAAAATGGCTGCCTATGTCAAGTCTAATAGGCGGTCATCCTGCACAATACCCCTCAATAACTCAAATGCCTAGCACTTACCTGGCTCCTGTAAACTTTGCCAAATTATCAGCAACTCGGTGGCAGAATGCGTCATGTGGTCTCTGTTGTCCATAAATCCCTGTAACTTTAGATTAGGTTTTCATAAACACAAAACAGAAACGTAATTACGAAGGACGATTTGTCCATATTATATGCAGACCCGTGTATTAGAAAAGGCCTTCGAGACAATAGCTTTTTCGTCAATCTCGACGATGCAGAAAGGTATCCGAGTACGAAAACGGCAATAACTAGCTGGTGGAGAGGACTTTAGGAACATTGTTTTCACGCTGTATTCCAATTCCATTATATTGCCGTGGCGAGACAGAGTAAAATGTGGGAATTAAAAGCATTTTTTCCTCTGCACACTGACCGAAAAAAGACATCGGTCTGAAGCAAAACTGTTGCCCGTATTCAGTTTGGGCAACTCACTTTGCAGGTTCAAATCGCAACTGATAGTAGGCGAAACATTTAACCAGGATTCACAGCGTAAT